GTCCCTCTCTCTGATGAGTTTCCACTTCCGGCGATTTTCACGATGTTACGTAAATTCCGCATTCAAGTCGATTCGTTGATTGGTTGCTTCATGGTCATATTACGTATAAATTTGACTTACATACTTAAAAAATAACGCTTCTTATAATAGAGGATGAGAAAATATCGTTCATTAAATATAAATAAAAAGATTTAAAAAAGTGATTGGATTAATTTATAATTTCAAGGAATTTTTATTTATAGAGTTTGTATAAAATAGCTATTTTAATTAGACAAATCTTTGTTTTAGTGAAATATTATTTTCTTAGAGAGAGAGAGAGAGAGAGAGAGAGAGATTAAATCTATTAAATTTTATATTAATTGATATATATATATATACTTATTGTTAGAAATTGAATTTATTTAATAATATCGTTTTTAGACCGCGTATGTGAGAGACACAACCGATAAAGAGCCCTATATGGTCGAAGCTAGATCTTAAAATGCTTTAAATAATTCAATCTTGAATCACTAAATATGATATATGTGTACTTGACATATATAGCACAATTGTAGTCTAACGAACTGTGCACCGAAATATTTCCGGACTAAACACAATTAAACCACTATAGTAAATTTCGCGAATTAAATTAAATTCTAATAATTTCGATGCTCAATCAGGCATCACATTTCAAAGATATTAATATGCTGAAAAACTGTAATTAAACTTATTGCGAAAAATATTACCTCGGCCGGGAATCGAACCCGGATCTCTTGTATTCCGAGCGTCCTGAGCCATTAGACCACCGAGGCAATGAATTTATTTATTTTTTAAGAAATAAATAAATTTCTACTTGATTTATTGTGATAAAAATATTATTGCAAGGCAATTACTCTCTATCTAGGTAAAATTATGAATATGTAAACGGGACAAGCGACGGAACTTCGTTTTTTATGAAGCTAACATACTAGTTATGATAATGGAATGCGTGGGAGAGGCAGACGATCGAGAGATTCTCTTCTTATCGTGGGCAGTTTTAATAATGTACGCGACCGAAATTCTTTCAGAAATTTTTTCAATAATTGTAAAAAATAATTTCTTTATAATTTCTTTATAGAAATATAATTAAAAAAATATAACTGTTAAATGAAAAACTTTACATAATTTTGTAAAGTAATTATTAATTATTTTGGGATTAATTTAATGTAAAATATTTATTTGCTGTCGGTAAAAATTCTAAAAGCAATATTTTTACGTATATCAAGAATAAAATTAAAAAATTTTTTTCTAAATTTTGTTCGTTACGTGTTTTGTATGTAATCTTGTTAAGAGAATTTTTGCAAATGACGTGCAGATATATTGCATAATTCGAGGAAGTCTATTCTACAATTGCGAATTGCGATATTGTACTCCCGATACAATTAATGGCTATCCTGCGTTTCCCATACCGAAATAGGACATTTCCTGCCTGTTTTGCATAACAACTAACGCAAATGCAAAATAGTGTGCCATATTCCAGTGTGTAAATCATTTTTTTTTAAATGTGATAAGTTATTCGTTAATTTAATCTTAAAGAGCATTTAAAGTATATAAGCAACATTTATTTTTTCGTCAATTACCTTTTTCTGAAAGATAAAATTATATTTTTTAAACTGTCATTCACTTATTAAACCGATAAAATTTAATGTAATACGATAATGAAGGTGACATTTCGAATCCGTTATTTGATCTTATTCCATTTCCGTGTCTTATTCTAGAACATTTTTAGAAGAAAGCGTGCCAAAAACCCGTGCACGTCTCGTCTGAATACGTATGTAGATAACGGGGATTTTCCTTCCAAGAAAGAAACGAGCATTGCACCATGCTCCCTCGCATAGACATAATTAAATACTTGTCTGCGTAACTCGACGATAAACGCTTGTTTGAAGCACGATATGCGCGCTACTAGTTTCAGAATGTTTCTCCCTCGATTAACGATTTCTTTCTTGCGTCAACATATGCGTGCGAGGAATTAGTTACTTTGCCCTAAAGAGCATAGGTGAATTTATAGCTGATGCAAATATACATTATTCCCATATTTATTGATAATCTTTGAAAAAGAATTAGTAATTGAATAAGGTAATTGAGGCGTGCCACGGCAAGACGTTGTAATTAATTAAAAATTTTTACAGAGAGATTGAGAGATGAAATGCGATTTCTTAAGGTTTTCGTGAAAACTTGAAACTCATTTTCTTGAAAACTATCATTTCAAAAATTCTACAAAAAATGAATGCAATAACTGAAACTAAGCAATTAGTCTCCGCACGAAGATTTTAATTAATTCTAATTTTTTAAAAAATTGCGTTACAATTCAAATTTCAAAACATTTTGAGTCCAAGTAAAAATACAAGTTAAAACATTTTAAGTTTAAATAAAAATACATAATTAATTGTATAATTGACAACTTACAACGTTTTGCACTATCCATTTTTTCCGCTTATAGCAGCACTTTCCGCCTCAAATATTAGAACATAGGACTTACACTCCGTTTACATAATAAAACACATTTCATAATTTTGGACTTACAATGTTTTGTAGTGATATGCCTTAATTAACGTCCGTGTACTTACAATCGTGGTATCTGACTTCGAAGCTCAATCCTGCAGATTTAAAATTTGAACTATGACAGAATTATGAATTATGTTCCGATCGAGTTAATAAAAGAAAAAAATCCACTCACGCGAAGCGGCCATGGTCATCGTTGTTTCATGGCACAGATTCGTGCAATTTTATAGAGTCGTTGCGTCAACAACGGTGGAATAAAAACGTCGCGTGCAATATACGCGAAAGTCTCCGTGAGCGAAGATACTGAAGATATTGCAATAATGTCACAAGTCTTTTGCAGAAACATGGCAAAATCAGCTATGACTCGGCCTTGTTCTTCATTTCAATAATGATTTCTCAATCATCGGACAAAATCGCGTTTGACTTCGATTATATCTAATAATGGTTTTTACTTCCAACTTTTTTGCTGTGAAGGTTGTTATATTGAATGAAAGAGAATTTTTGAAAAATTTCTGCAATAATTTAATTCTCCTCCGTCTTCAATAATATTTTTATTCTCTTCGTCTACAATCTGGGTCTTTTGTCCAGCTCAAATTTTTTTTACTGTTCTAGGCTTTCAAAAATGTAGAAAAATTCAGGGTTACTTTTCAATATTTTTATTACATTATATTAAATAGTTTTTTTCGATTATTTCAAGAGGGGGAAGACCGCCCTCTTTTATTTCGGAGAAATTTGAAAATAAAATTTCGCTTGTATAAGAAAAAAACGGATCTGTTTAGCATGATATTTTATTAATATAAAAAGAATAATTACGCTTCCAGTAACACTTTTTATAATTCTCTCCAATTCTAGAATTCCAGTAACACTTTTTATAGTTCTATCCAATTTTAGAATTGGAAAGAGATCAGGAATAAGTTGAACCTCGGTTAAGAGATAACCGTGAGTTGTGGAACTGGGCCCAACAGGAACTGTATCCAAAAGTGAAAATATTTATCTTTTTCTTGTACTTTAGAGTGAAAGTGTCATGCTAGATTCGCGAAGTTAGGACCATATTTTTAATTTTGATTTTTTAGTATAAAAAATACCGAACTCTTTTTTTTATTTTCATGTAGAATTGTAGAACTTACTATGAAAAATTCTACTGGAACTAATTATTTTTTTATATTAATAGAATATCGTGCTAACTTCACAGATAAAAATATTTCAATTTACAAACGAAAGGTAAATATATAACACATTTAAAAATTTTGATATATCGATTTTTTATTTATTAAAACAAATTATATTTATATGTAGGTTATTGATGGAAGTAGATTGACTAGCGAGAATTTTCTTACTAGTGCTCTGTACGAAATTTCGCTATCTATGTACCGTTATATATCTTGTCCAGTTGTTGCACCGGATTACTTTAATTACGCGTTTGATTATCGGGTCACAATTACGGGGAAAGCAAAAGGATACGTTTACGCGTAGTCTCATATCGCGATGAAATAAATAACCACATGGCTATATGCGATAATTCGGAGTACTGAAAGCCAGTCGAACGTGAAATTCAGTATGTAGGACTGTAGCGGCCGCTGTAGCGATAGCCGACTAACATTATTTCGAAGGGATTTAAACGGTTCGCGCGGCACGGGGAAAACCGGTTCTCTCCATCGTCGTGCATGACGCCAAGTAATGGAATTCCTTTAAGTACCGTTCAGAGTTGCATCAGGATCCAAGGTCATTATAAGTATCTCTCCGCGGGCAGCGATCTTTATCCGAACTCGCGTACTTGCTCGGTGCGATTCTGATCGAGAAGTGTGCGATACAATCGCGAAATACCCAGGCAGAAACTCGTGTCTCGTTAAATCTGTACAGTAGGCATTTGTGAATTCAACCGTATTACACGGCGTGCTGTTTTTGTCTGCGCGCTGCAGAAGGTTGCACACCAATACGGACGAAACGTCAAAAAAACTGCAGTGTCATTCGACTGAAAAGAAATATCTAGTTTCGTTCCGTTTCTATCTTCTCCGTAATGCGGACGTAGAACGAGCGATTTTTATCGAGATCCAGTAAATTATAATTGCAAAGTCATTAAAAAAGTTATGTTAATAATAAAATTATATTAGATTATATACGTAATGAAATCCAATTTATGCTTATAACTTCCGTATGTCTATACTTATATTTGACGAATACCGTTTTGTAGACTGATATTACTACATACATACTGCTTTTTTATTTTATATATTATATTATTTATGTATAAATCATATATACAGGATGTTCTTGCTTATTATTATTATTCAATGATGGATTGTTCAATTTGAAGTCGATTGTTCCTGCATATTATCTTTTATATATTCAATAATAATTCTATATTTTCCTTCAATATAATATAATAATATGTGTATCCTTGTTTTATTCAATAAGAGTTCTATTTTTCTTCAATTTAATAGAATAATATATGTATCATTGTTTTCTTATCGTTTCAGAACACGCAAAAGTCAATCGATTCTAACGACACGGGGCACAGCGACAGTACCACCGTTGTGCAGACGACGACCGGCGACAAAGAGTCCAACATGCGGGAAAATGGCAATGGCAATATGAACCATGTGCACGGTACGGGTAATGGCACCCTGGGTGTCGCGGATGGTGATGCGAACAACAGCGAGCCTCGATCCTTGAACCTGACGATGAGCGCGAAGGAGCTCAGGGAGATGCTGGCACAGCGCAAAAAATACGACCCGAAGAAAGAGTCGATCGGCTTCAAGGATAAATTCGACATCGTGCAGAAACTGTAGACGCGTTCTCGTGCCTCTCTTGTGACTCGGTAATCCTTCATTCCTTTATTCCTTCCTTTTCCGTCGTCATCGTCGTCGAGCACTCGACGACGACGACGATGGTTTCCTTTCTATAATATAACACATTTTGTTGTAACCGATCAAATTGTTGTCGTTATAATAAATACACGATTGTTTAGATTATCGTGAATGTTAAGCATTGACGTCGATATCGTAACATTATACATACATTTATTTGCAGCGAGAAACGGTGCTGCGAAGATTAGAATAACGAAAGGAGATAACGCTGTTTGTATAAGTACATTGTTAATTTTTAGTTTATATTACTATTTTTAATGTGAAGGCGAATTTACATGTGCAATCTTTGTCGCTTCCGCGCCGGAAGTTACGACAGATTTCAAGTCACCGGTCTATCAACATTTAATAGAACTATGAAATACGAAGAGTTATTTTTTTAAAGAAAATTCCACATTTGTCACTTTTTATTTCAGGTCATTAATTTTTTTTATAACTTAATGGTTATAAGTTAGCCCGAAAATATTCATTTTTTCCTGGAGTAACAACTTAGTCTTAAAGATGTTCCTGTTGTAATTAATTACAACACTTCTCGATTAGTGAATAATTAAATCTCACTCTTTCGATTATCCATGGTGTCGTCATATTAATTTCTAAGCACTCGTCTATTAAATTCGGGAGATTCGTTCGCCACTTCTTCCCACGACTTTCTCCGGCGAGAATTGATCTGCGCCGTCCCTTGATGTAGTAATAGTCTCGAACGTTACGTCGATCATGCGAATTTTTTTACCGATAGAAGACGGTTTCTAATTCCCAGTTGCGCGTGATTGAGAAATAATTTGTGATAAATATTCTCGCCTATGTATATCGACAAATTGGAAATTTACCTCGAGACTTCGACATTTTATTGATCAAAAGACCAAATGTTTAATTAATCATGTTCAATAAATCATAGGAAGTCAACATAGCGTTCGTAAATTAAAGTTATAACGAACGTTTAATTCGAAAATAATGCCTGGTATCTTGAAGAACATCTGTCTTCCATTTTGCTAATCAGTTCGACTTACCGTTCGATTTATTGCAGCTGCTCTCGGTTAAGGCTGTGTAATGAGGATTAACATGGTTGCCAAAACGACAATTTAATGTCGACACGCGGAGAATTCGATGCGCGCGGAATCTCTCGATAATCGTGCGCGAAGCGTAGATAATGTTTGCGTGATAATGGCTAAACGACCATTGCAAAACGTCAACGTTGTATTCGGAGATTCAGTTCATAGTCGCGGCACGACTGTAAGGACTCGCAAGGACGGACGTTCCTCGCGTGCGCGCTGCAACAGGTCTATGAAATCAGTCAGTCGCCCGACGCGACGTGCGGTCCAAGGACGAGCGATCTGGGAGAAAGTACAGCCAGACGTCGGACGAGTCTCAGTTAATCTCCGTTATCGAATTCAGGACGCGAGTTGTTTTTTACGTTGCACGTTGCAACACCGGGCGGATCAACTCAGGAATTAAACATCCATGAATTTTATAAATTTCAATGCGTCATACCTTGTATATTGCTCAGGCCCGATTCGGTATTTAACGCAGTTAATTGGAGCACTAAGATTAATATGGGCACAACAATGCTTGCATTTTGTGATTAAATTTCTCATTACAATAAATAATTGCACTGATTAAATAATTCATTATGTAATTATTTTGTAAATAATATTGATAATTCGTGTAGCACACAGTCAAGCTAATATAAATTAATTGCAAGAGAGAGTTTCTAAATTTTATATTTCTCACATTCGATTTTAGTGTTCCAATGAGATAATATTGAACAATTTTATTCACGATTTTGTTTTCAAAGAGGATAATAAGAGATAATAGTTCAATCACATTTTTCGATAAGAAACTATCATAATTGATAAACGTATAGCGTTAGTGACTAATCGGACCAGTCCGACTCTGTTGTAGTTACGATTTAATTGTCAGCTTAACGAACTGGTTATCTCAGGTGATAGATTATGAATATTGCCTTGTGATTAGTACAATGATGTTGCATGTTTTATCGATGCATTTAATAGCCGTAAGATAAACGTTTTTCGCAGGATAAACTCTTAATCATTTTATTTTTGAAATTTTTGAAAAACTCGAGACTTCGAATGCGATATAAAAAAGGAGATAAAATTAATTTTTTTTAACAGATGTGCATCGTTTCTAGCTCATCTTGCTTCCGCGTTTCTTTTTCTTTAACGATGGCTTTAACGACAGCCATAGTTGTTTATTGTCACATGTTCTTTGAGAACACCCATGTTAGCAGTTAATTAAATGCATTTCTTACATGCGTGCGTCGTGCGTAATATGATATAAGAAAAAATGGTAGTAGAAGTGCAACAAAAAATGGGAAAACTCAAGGATAATTAAGATAAGAGAAACAGTAATTCGATTGTAATCTTTATTCTACGCAATGTGTTATTGCAGAGTGCCTACAAAATTTAACGTAAAACGCTCGTTTAAAGTGTGTTACATCCATAATGGAAACATTTACGAATGAATACGTTCCTCCAAATATTTTTTCACTCAAACGCATAACGCACAAAATGCCCATTTCAAACAGAACGAAATCAATTAAGCACGTGCGGCTTTCTCGAGGCGAATATTATCAGAGAACGACGATAACAGTGGCTCGACAAACAGGTACGGGCGTTCTGAAATTTATAACTCGCGTTCGTGACGTGTGTTCGATAAACCGACTTGTCGAATGCAAAGGCATTGCGTAATCGACTGAGCAAGAATGTCTCTCTCGCGTTACAATGGCAACGCGAGAGAGAAGCCTCCTTTCAGGATTCCACCTTCGTTTTACTACTCGCCGAGACTCATGGAAAAGTTGGGTACATAACTCGAGATTCTCGTTACTAAACATTACGACGACGCGTTACGCAACGTTCAATTATCGCCGTCGTTGTCGTTATGCATTCACCTGTTGAGAGCGCAGGCGTCGCGTTTCCGAGATATCAAGTATAGTTTGTGCCTTTTTGCATAAATATGCATACAGCCTAGTGAACAAAGCTTCTTTATAATCTATTAATATTATTAATTCTAACAATATTCAGACCTTTTAATTTGACTGAAACATTTAAAAATCATTATTGAAAACTATTAGAAGCAAGATAATTACAACAACATAGAATATTACGAATTAAATTTTCCTATTGTGTGTAAATAAGGATCTATAATTTTTCTCTTGTCCATAATTTTACACGTAACATCTTAAAACCTTTAAAATATTTATTTTAATAAAATTAATTATTTTCAATTTGTCATCATTTGTCTAAAATATTAATTGATGTAGTTAAAATTTAACCAACCTTTCTTTGTAAATTTATGGCAATCGTGGTGTATCGTTGAATGCTTCCTGTTAAAACCAATTGGCTTTCGTGTCGCCAATAGCTACCATTGAATTCCATATGAATCTATTCTCCGAGTGATTTGGTTGGAGAACAGAGTTTTTTAACGGGTCATCGTAATTTATCACGAAAATAACAATCGTAGCAAAAATGACTAATAACGTGAAAATTATATATATGCATACGCACGTACCTGTTGCTCTGTACTAATTACATCTAGTGCGCGTTAGACCGTTATGTCATTCAGTGGCTTACCCAAGTGAAAGTATTATAATGAGACACCTGATCGCGTGCGAAGCAGACTTTGGTGAACGAAAATATCGTATTTATACACATATCGTGATATATTCTTGTATTAAAAAAGCATCGCGCGATAACGATGTAAAGTGAGCGGCAAACGACTTGAACAGAATTCTGCCTTGCGAGACCCTGATTGACTTCGACGTTTGTAATTAAAGATGGAAAACATTAGTGCAATTCTCGAATGATTCAAATGTCAGTTTTGAAAGAGAAATGATTAGTCAGATTAATTAAATTTTATGTTGGTATCTCATTTTGAATATGAAATGATCAGAGTGTTGATATTAATCGGAAGGGTAATTAATTTATTCATGAAAAGATCGATCATTCGTAAAAGTACTGGAGATGTTTTGCTTAATTAAATTTAAGAGCGGAATATTACGGTTATATAAGATATATGAGTAAAATAACGTGTGATCAACTTGGAGCATATTTTTTAATAATCAGTTTCTTTATGCGAGCGTGTAATACATTGAAATCTCGCGACGTGATTTCTGTTTTGCAGAGGGGCGTAATAGGGAAAAAACAGTTTAATGTCTCAATAATATTTTTACGAATGCGTTTTGGGATAAGAAATGCGACAGAAAAAAGAATTTACATTCTAAATCGTTTTATTCTAACGATATTTTGCACGGCTTCTACATGTACTTAAAAGTTTAAATTATAAGTATAAGAGCACACGATAAATAAAAGAATGCTTTACTGTAAGAAGAGACACGGATGACGCAGTGTGACACAGTGACTCATTTCATCTTTGTTTAACATTGGCAAACAGCTAGGATGTAATGATTCACTGCGTTGTACTGTGTCATCTATGTCTCTTACTGGAAAACACTCGAAGTGTCGACCGACTGGTTGTGTCATTTATGGAAAACAATAAAAATTGTGTCGGTTTCATATCCATGTGTGCGGTTACATACATTATCAAGAATTTTCCGTAAATGATACAAAAGTCGGCTGACACTTTGTCTATCGTATGCTCTTGTCTTTAAGTGTTTATGATAGTAATCCATTTTAATAATATGTACGATACGCTTATTTTGTGAGTAATGCAGATCCAGTATTGATGAAAATTGGAAAGAAGAATCAACTTAAAAATTGTTTAGAAAATTATTTCAGACGAGTTATGTCTCGATGAGAGTTACTATTTTCAACAGAATTTTTAAAACCGCTAATTATACTACTCGCAAAATAAACGATTTGTGATTAAGATTAAGATCATCAGGAAAACAAATATCGATGCGACATTTAAGCTGTGTTCCAAAATTTATTGCCAGTACTGAACAGCTGTAGTTTACGTCACGTGCACTAGATTTTCAGTACTGGCAATAAATTTTGGAACACAGCCTTAGAAGCCAGGGTTTCGAATAATTCGTATTGTAATGCTCTCGTTCGTCAAATCCGATAGGCGTTAAACGTGCAGATTTCTTTTCTTATTTTTAAGATCTCTTCTTGTTTCGTAGGATCTTGAAGAACTTTAATCATTATACCGGCTTCTGTAAATATTAGATTATCGTGCAACAAGGTAGGCGCAACGATCAGATGCAAGGAGAATGACTAACGATAGTAGTCTGCGCAAACAAATAAATCTTTCGTGCAATGAGATTCACTATAATTATCAACACGAAACGTATGCGTTCTTTCGTGGCAGAAGCGAGCGTTGCTTCTTTAAAAGTAAAATGGTGCAATCTTTAAAAGTGAATATTTGTTAATAAATGTGTGTATGGATAAAGACTTAATGAGTTCGTCAGATAAATATGGGCTATTAAACTCTAAAAATGTACATAACATAGTCATGTTGTCATTGACTTCGTATCATCGCATTGATATGAATTGGTATCGAATATCTTATCTTATCTATATCGGTCATTCAACGTATAAATATGTATATTGTATAATAATGTTTTTATTGGCTGTTTGACAGAAACAAGGATCTTCTAATGATTTTTCAAACGATTTAATCGATACGTAGATCTTACCGGCATGTAATCGTTGCACCGAAATCTTGGAATGTATATAACTACGCGCACGTATACATACGCACATGTTAAATAAGAACTAAGTACACATGTTACGATCTTCGCACATTATGTCCAACATTACTGTGTAAGTATTAATTGTAAGCATTATGTTTGATGCTAAGATTTAGTTATAAAGTTACATGTATTTACGTACATGTATAAGAAGGAATATTCTGTCTATACAAATTATCGTTCTTGTAAATATATGTTCCAACTATCCTTGACTCCTTGAGATACTTTTAGTAATTAAAACTTTAAATAGATACTTTAAATAGATACTTTAGTAATTAAATAAAAATTTGATTTTTAATTTTTAATGGACTTTCCTAAAATATGCAAAGACGTTTTTCTAAAATATGCGCGAGTTTTTTAATATTAATAAAATAGTTTTTACGATAACTTTTATATGTTTTAATATGTTGGAAAAATGTTTAATAGAATATTTTTAATGATATTTTTAATTCACATCAAAATATTTTTCTTTTTAGTTGATCACTTTTTAAGATATCTTTAAATATTAGAGGATGTTTCCTTGTCAGTAGAGCTAGAGGGACGACGATTGCTAGTGCATGCCAGGTAAGTGGCGCCACGATCAAGATTTCTTCCACTGTTTTATCGATCGAGTGTTAATCAAAGTTCAGGAGTTTCACGTTTATCATATTCTATGGCTGCGTTCTACTTAACGCTCACAACGCTCGTGGAATCATTTCATCCTTGTCGTTTATCAAATATTAAACAAGGACAAACGATGCTCGCGAGCGTTGCGAGCGTTAAGTGAAACGCAGCCTATATATGCATCGATCATAAAAATTATTAAGATGAATATAGAATTTTGCTCAAAATTTTCGTGTTATTGCTTCTAAGATTTGGAGTATGCATATGTAGATTTTTATTAGTACTAAATATTATCAAAAGAAATCGCTAATATATTTTCATAAAGGAATACATCTTATTTTTATTATTGAAGA